GGGGGCTTTGATTTATTGCCAGCCCTGGAAGAAGGGAAAAAAGATTAGTAATTTTGTAAAGAGCAGAATCCTTTGGGTTGAAAATCTGTTATTGCCGCATTCACTCTGACACAGGGCTTCCCGAGTGGGAGCTAGGAAGCTCAAAGTAAAGCAGTTTATTGCTTTATTGTGAGATTTTAATCCCATAGCTGGCAGAGGTCAGGACGAAGCAAAAATATCACCCTGAGAGTTGTCTGGGTATGAGTGGGGGACTCTCAGATGTCTGGAGAGAAAGAGTTCTAAATTGGATGGAGAAATTGTACCTCCCAGAAAAGAAAAAAGTGAGGCCAGCTTGGTCCAGAATCAGGAAATGAATTTTATGGCCCTGGCTCTGCTGGGAGCTCTCTGTGGAACCTTGGCCAGTCCCTAGACCTCTCTGGGAACTGGGTTTTGTCATCTGCAGAATGAAAGAGCTGGAACTAGGTACTCTCTAGCTGAGACTTAACGGTTTGGGCCCCTTCCAGCTCTGACATTTGCTGATTCTCTGTCCCCAGGTGTCGTGCACAAAGCCAGGCGCGGAGTGAACTCAGGTCTGATTTCCAGGTGGAAGTCAGCAGTCCGGTCCTGCGGGAAGGAAGGCTGTGATGGGCCTGGCGTCCAAGCTGTCGGCCCTCTCAGAGGCATGCCCGGGGCTACACGAGAGCCCTTGCTGTGGCAGGACAGGCTGAATCAGGCTTCCAGGGCTCTGCCTAGGTGAAAGCCTTGGGTGTGTAAACCTGCAGGACACAGGTTCCTGTCTGCAAAGCCTGTGGTATTAAGTTGACGCTGAATGAACTGCTTAATGGCCCCTCTTTGTTCCCTTAATTGTGTTCCTAGGAAGAGGCAAAGGAATAATACGGGCAAATGGCTCGTTGTAATGAAATAGCTTTTAGCTCCCAGGCGGCTTCCAGTAAGTGGAGGTTCCTGCTGGGATGCGCAGAATTTTGGACTGAGGCTCTCATTCAGCCTTTGGAGTGGCAGCCTTGTTAACAAACTGGAGCGCAGGCTCTCGTTTCATCTGAGGCTTCGAGTATCCTTGCTGTCTGCTCTGGGTGAGCTGTGCCTCCAAGAAGCAAACCTGTGATGAATCACAACCCGATTTGTGTCAGTGAGCTGTGTGACAAGTCAGTGAAGGAGGAGGTTTCTGTGTGGGCCAAAGAATCCCGTTCGTAAGGAGCCGGGTGTAAGGTGGACTGGGAATGCACCCTCATTCACAATATATACTCGTCCAAGAGAAACTGCTTGCTCAGGAGACTTTGTGCTTTGCTTTGCTCTCCTAATAGCTGGTGTGTGATTGTTCTTACTTTGCCTGTGAAACAGTTTTATTCTTAGGACAGATGAGCCAGAATTACCCTCTGACGCAAGGGTCTCCCTTCTCTCTCTCGGGGTGGCCGTAGCACTAATCCTGGTGTTTGTGGCTTGGTTCGAGCTCAGCTGCTCTGGCTCCACAACTGTGGCCACCAGGCCCTTGGCTGACCCAATTAGTTGGCAGGTGTAGGAGCCAGCTTTGAGCCAGTTCCTTCGTCAGAGACCCCTGGCTGCCTGGGCCAGGGCTTTCTCAGCCGACAGAGCTGCCTTTTCTGTACTGAAGTGCATACTGCCTCGCCACTCGACTGCGTTCAGAACAAGGGGGTGGAATTAACTTAAAATGTATTGTCATAAATGTGGTAGGAGCGGGCTTTGGGAAATCCTTCCTTAGCACCCCAGAGCCTGTGAAGAAAGGCTCACAGAAATAGAGGACTCACCGAGCACTTTGTTTCTAGTGCCTGTCGGTCCTCCAGCCTGGGTGGGCCTCGTGCGTATCAGGAGAGAGACGCGGAGTAGGACGCCTTTGTGCACCGCTCCGCTGCAGGGTGGCATATCCACAGAAAAGAGATCATGCAGGACACGGTGGCGATGGGAGAGGCAAGGGGAGGGAGACCTTGGATTTTGTTTTACCCTTTTTGAAGGGTAACATAAGGTAAGGAAAAGGGAGCGCTTTAATCAGAGCCATCGCCACGTGGGGCCCGGTGCATGTCCACGGAGGCAGTTGTGATCCCGGGGGCACTTGCATTATTTCCTTCTCTTCCCTTCCTCCCCCCCTCTCAGGTGACAAAGGAACCAGTAGTCTCAGACTTGTCCAACGTAACCCTTTTGGGTTATAGCCACTTGCATGAAAAGTCCTGTGGTGTTTTTGTTGCTGGAAAGGGGACCTGGCCCTGAGCGGGTCTGCCCAGGGCCAGCGGGTAGTGTGTGGGTTCTTGACTTCGTGCAGGAAAAATTTCACAGCACGAGCCCAGGTGAATTTTGGAGGATGTTTATTAAACCTGGGGACAGTGACATCCAGAAAGATCTGGGGAAATGAGCCTAGGCTGGGCTGCTTTGGCTCATTAAGGAGTCAGAGAAGCCTGGCCGGGTGTGGCTCAGCGGTTGAGCGTCGACCTATGATCTAGGAGATCGAGGTTCAATTCCCAGTCAGGGCACATGCCCAGATTGTGGGCTCGATCCCCAGTGGGGGGCGTGCAGGCGGCAGCCGATCAGTGATTCTCTCTCATCATTGATGTTTCTCTCTTTCTCTCCCTCTCCCTTCCTCTCTCTGAAATCAATAAAGATATATTTTTTTAAAAAAAGAAAAGAAAAAAGTCAGAGAAAAGGGGGCCTTGGGGACAGGTTCAGCAGGTTTGCCGGGGCCGAGCTGCCACTGCCCATTGCTGCCCTGGTTGCAAGCCTTGCGGGGTCCCTTAGAGTTTAGGAGATGCAAGCCTGTGGGGGAGGAAAAAGGTGCAGGCGAGCTCTGGGTACAGGGAAAACATACTGGGTCCTTTGTCTTTAGGCTTTTATCTCTTTCTTCCAGGTGGAATTCTTAGGGGAGGTCTCAAGGTGGGTTTCAGCAGAACATTCATCAGTTTTTTAGGTGTGCCCTTTCGGGGTTGTGGTCTCCACTGATTGGTCAGTGCCAAGGCAAGGAGTCATTAGTCCTGGTGCTGGTTCTGGTGTCACCCACCTGGTTTTGCTGCTTTCCTGGGCCTGGAGCCAAAACACAGCTGAGGCCTAGATGTTATCTCTAAGGAGGTGACCTGCACCTAGCTGTAAATTGCTCTCCAGTTTATTCAGCCGTCTGCCTCAGTTTCCCTGTTCACGTGTCCTGGCTGACTGGCCTGTCTCATTTTCCCTCTTAGGTCTGCGTGAGAGGCCGGGTTCAGGGGAGCTCAGCCAGGGAGGAGGAGGAGCATCCTTACGAGCTGTTGTTAACAGCAGAAACAAAGAAGCTGGCTGCAGTGGACGGAAAGACAAAAGGTACAC